CCATGCTTCAGAATCCTTTAAAGGTCCCGGAGGTTGAGAAGCCCTGGGTCAGAGTCACAGGAAGTGTGGGAGTTTAGCATTGACTTCCTGTACCCCATTTAGTGATTACACCGAATAGGCTGTAATGGCGGAGGACTGATTTGCAAAGGCTTGGGAATGTATGAGCAACTGGGGAACGCGCGGCAGATGCTTCCCCAGGAAACACATTGAGGGTGTGTTGGAGGGGGTGTGTGTGTGTTTCGATATCAGTCTGGCAACAAGATTAGAGCCGCAAGGCACATCAAAACATCAGACAGGTGTTCTACTTTGCTTTCTTGGCAAGTTCCGAGAACTTGCTTCTCCTAACTGAAATTAGCCAGCAACTGACGCGCCTGCCAGCATTCAAAGTTGTACTCTGAATTCACAGATCAATAACCAAACCAGCTGGAGTTAGACAAACTGGGAGGTGCATGATCCAATAACCAAACCAGTCTGAGTTAGACAAACTGGGAGGTGCGTGATCCAGCCTGAAAGCCAGTGGGTCCGACTAAAGAGACATGCTTGAAAGATGTGGCAAACCTGTGTGATTGCCTCACTACCTTGCCACTCGTGGGGTTTAAAGTACAACGAGTATCAGCCTGCAACTTGCCAATCCTGCAAAGCCAGGTATTTGTACTTACACATTGTACTTACACTGTACTTACACATTAGGTAGGTAAACTTGATGTAAAAGATTCTGTTGATTTTGGCTCCCACTGGTATGTAATTCAAAATGCATCCTCCTGGGAGAGAATTTTAGGGAGTGTGCAAATCCCTTTCCTTTCCCCCTCCATTCCAGGGAGGCCGGGTTCAGTGTTTGTAACCCGAACTCTGTAGCAATGTTAGCAGGTTCATTTTTGTGTTGACAATTGGCATTGTCTGACCTTGACTCTCAGGGGAAGAACTGAGGAAATGAATCTCTCCAGACACCCCGCTTTCTTCTCCGATAAATTGTCAAGGGAAGAGCCTTTGAGTTCTTTTATGGCTGGGATGGAGCCTCTTTCACTGCTGTAGCCCCAGGGCTTGGCAGAGTGCCTGCGTCAAAGAAGGCACCAGATAAATCTTGGTTAAATAAATGTTTTGTATTAAACACCCACACATATATTATGAGTTTGGCTCCCAGCATGGGTAGCTGATTTATATCCTGAGAGCTGTTTCTTTGTATCACCACTTTCCTTTTTGAACTGAGAACCACTAATTGCATTGTGTTGGTGGCCCTGACTTTACAGACCGGCAGGGAGGGGCTAGGCAGAGGCTGCATCAGACGTCCTGAAGAGGGTGTGTTTTTGGCCTCTGCTGCCCAGTTCTGAGTGTTACCAGCGCTTGGTAAATATTAATGAAGGTTGAGGCTGGAGCTGTATTGGGAGGCTGCTGGGAGTCTGGGACATAGTAAAGGCTTTAAGAGGGCTCTCCTGAGAGCAGCCAGACTCTGACCCGGCAGAAACGGAGGTTTCATACCGCCCTAGCAGCTCTGCCAGTCCCGTCTACAGCCATTCAGCGTGGGCTCTGGGCAGAGCACCTTTCAGGCACTGGGGAAGACAGAGGGGACTCAGACACAAATGCTTCAGGGGGACACAGAGCATGGGCTCTGAAGACTTAGCTTGTAGCTCTCAGCTTTAAATTTTATGGGCCTCACATTTTTCATCTGCACAGTAGAGATCAAAACTGCACCTACCCCATCATTGGTGCAGATCAGCAAAAAACAATGTGGTACAGGGAAGGGGAAGGCAGAGAAAGTACCCACTATGTTGTGTGTGTTGATAACTGCCCAAAATACTACCTGTGTAAACACAGGTAAGAATCAGAGAGCAGGGTGACTGAATTCTGTAATACAATTTGGAGCCAGTGAAGTGGGTTCTGTTTGTTTGTTGTTTTTGTTTTTTGTTTTGGGTGCCTGTGTGGCTCAGTCTGTTAAGTGTAGGCCTCCTGATTTGGGCTCAGATCATGATCTCAGGGTCGTGAGATCGAGCCCTGTATCAGGCTCACACTGGGTGTGGAGGCTGCTCTTCAGTTTCTCTCTCCCTCTCCACCACCCCCTCTAAAATAAATAAATAGTAACACAATCAAATTGGTGTAGTGAAGAAGGAGGTTGGGGAGGGAGTCTGGTGGAGATGAATTTGACTGATATTTGGATGGTATGAATAAAAAAGAATTAGACCTACCAAATGGGAGAAGATATTTGCAAACGACATATCAGATAAAGGGCTAGGGTCCAAGATCTAGAAAAAACTTACCAAACTCAACACCCTAAAAACAAATAATCTAGTTCAAAAATGGACAGAAGACAAGAACAGACATTTCTCCAAAGAGGACATACAAATGGCCATCAAACACATGACAAAATGCTCAGTATCACTCAGCAGCATGGAAATACAAATCAAAACCACAATGAGATACCACCTCACACTGATCAGAATGGCTAAAATTAACAAGTCAGGAAACAACAAATGTTGGTGAGGATGCGGAGAAAGAGGAACCCTCTTACCCTGCCCGTGGTAACGCAAGCTGGTGCAGCCACTTTGGAGAACAGTGTGGAGATTCCTTAAGAAGTTAAAAATAGGGGCGCCTGGGTAGCTCAGAGGGTTGAAGCCTCTGCCTTTGGCTCAGGTCATGATTTCAGAGTCCTGAGATCGAGCCCCACGTAGGGCTTTCTATCCAGCAGGGAGCCTGCCTCCCCTCTCTCTCTGCCTGCCTCTCTGACTACTTGTCGTTTCTGTCAAATAAATAAATAAAATCTTTAAAAAAAAAGAAGTTAAAAATAAAGATACCATATGACTCAGCAATTGCACTACTAGATACCACAAAGATATAAATGTAGTGATCTGAAGGGGCACGTGCACCCCAATGTTTACAGCAGCAACGTCCCCGATAGCCAAACTGTGGAAAGGGTCCAGATACCCAGTGACAGATGAATGGTAAGAAGATGTGGGGGTGTGTGTGTGTGTGATGAAATATTACTCAGCCATCAAAAAGGATAAACTCTTGCCATTTACGTCGTTGTAGGTGGAACTAGAGGGTATTATGCTGAGCAAAATAAGTCAATCAGGAAAGACAATTTCATATGATTTCATTCATACGTGGAATATAAGAAACAGCACAGAGGATCATAGGGGAAGGGAGGGAAAACTGAATAGGAAGAAATCAGAGAGGGAGGCAAACCATGGGAGACTCTTAACTATAGGAAACCAACAGGGTTGTTGGAGGGGAGGTTGCGGGGGGGAATGGGGCAACTGGGTGATGGGTATTCAGGAGGTCATGTGACATGAAGAGCACTGGATGTTATATGAAACTGATGAATAACAACTCTGCATATAAACTAATGAGGAACTATATGTTGGCTAATTGAATTTGAGTAAAAAGAAACATTTAGAGATATAAAATACACTTTCATACAAGTATCCAACCAGATAGAATATGTAAAATGCAGTGATAAACACTTGGCACTTCATAAATCTTTGCTATTAAAAAAAGAATTAGAAAAAAAGTGCTCAGACTGAAACCACACCATTTTATTAAAAAAAAAAATCATAGTAAGGGTCTTTTCCGAAGTTAAAGTCTTGAACTCATTAATTAAATACAGCCTGGCTACTATCTGATGTCTAAGCCAGCTTCTGGAGTTTTAGGAAACAGATCACATTTTCAGTAAGCTAGCAGGTGCTTATTATACACATCTTATTTGACTATAATATGATTAGCACCAGAAAGCCCCATGCTCAAAAATATATCTTCTATATATTTCACCAAATTAATTTGATTAACAAACTTCTCTTTTAGAATTCAGTCGCTTAAGGAAGTGTTTTTTGTTTTTTTTTAAGAAAACGTAAGGTCCGTGGCCAGAAAGACAGAGGTGGGGGATGATGGAAGCAAAAAAACCTGCAGGTTAAATAACGAATTATGTGGGACCTATAAACCGTATATATAAATTCCGCAGTGAACACGTTCCACGTTCACAGACTTGGGCGTTCTCTTTTCAAACACTCATTTTGGGTCGCTTATCCATTTACCTCAAAGAAGTCCTTTTCCTCTTCTCTCCACCTCGCCGGCATCATCCACGGAGCTACAGCTTTACTCCTCCTCCCCACTTACAACTGGGCGGAAAGGGGAATCAGGGAGCCCCGGTTCTTTCAACAAACTTTTCTTGCGCACTTACAATGTACGAGACATTGTATTCAGAAAAATAAAACCCGGCCTCACCCCTTGAGGGTGTGGTGGTCCTGGTGGGGAAGAGGGGTGACAAATAGGGACACCAGCAGTTACCAGGCGAGACGATGAAGGGCTCTCACTATAGTTAAGGACCCGTGGGGACACAGCGGGGACTGACTGACTTGATCCGCGCATGTGTGGGAAACGCCTTCACAGGGGAGGCCACTTCGTAAAGTTTTGGGGCTGGGGTCGGGGACACGAGAGGGAACCGCAAGCTTTGGGGATTGCAAAGAAGTTCTCGCGACCGAGGAGAAGGAGAGGAGCGTCAGGAGCAAAGTGCGCAGAGGCCAGGCCTCGGGAGGCAACTTTGGCGCACATCTTTCGGCTTTAAAAACTGGTCACGTGGCCCAGCGAACCCAAGTCGGGAACCGAGGCCGCTTCGGTAAAGCCCCCGGGGGGCTGGGGACCAGTCGGGGTCTCTCAGTGCCGCAGGACCCGCGCGCCGAGCGCCCGGGCTGACGCCCCTTCCCGGGCGCCGAGCGCGCGTGGCCAAGACGTGACCCGGGGGTCGCGGGCGCCGCCGCACCCAGCGGGGCCGGGGGCAGCGGGGCGGGCGCAGCGGGGCGGGCGCGTCCGGGGACCGGCCCGCGGAGGGCACGACCGCAGCAGTTGTTCCCGACATGCTCCTCTCGGGGAGGATTTCAAACCCCGGGCCACAAGCTCGCCTCCCTCGTCCCCGCCGGCCCCAGCAACAGGCGGTGGCGCGCGTATCATTGGCCGGGCGGCGCGTCGGCCGCTGTTGATTGGCCGCCGTGCCTCTCGGCCCCGCTTCGGCGCTCGTCGCCACCTCCATTTTGTCGGTAGAGGCGGAAGGAGGAGGTCGGGTCGGGAGGCAGAGGTGGTCAGCTGCTAGCTCCTCGGTGCCCGTGGGCTTTGTTCGTTCCGTGCCTCGTCTCTCCCTGGAAAGGGAGGGGGGCTTCGACGCCGAGCAGGAGCCGCCGCCGTCCGAGTTTGAAGTCGGTGAGTGGCAGCGGCGCCGCGGGAGCGGCCATGTTGGCGGCCGCACTCCCCATTGTTGGGGGAAGGAGGCGAAGGGAGGCGAGATCCCGGAAACCGCGTCGGGCGCGGGGGGCCGGGGAGCACCCCGGCCGGGCTCGAGAACGGTGGTCTTTTCGGAAGCCAGGCCCCGTCAGAAGACCCGAACTTTCTGGGCTCGCGCGGTGAATGACTCAGGGGCTGTTAAAATAAGTGTGCAAGGCCCTTAACCCTTCCAAAAAAGAGGGCGTATTTGTTGGTAATTGATTTCTTGGGATAGTAAATGAAACCTGGGATATATAATGCTCACTATAAAGAGGCATTCTTGGGTATATTTTAGATGAAAATCGGCTTAGGTTATGGCCTGTGAAAACTTCAAAATGGGGAGGAGTTGAGAGTTCATAACTAAAGGAGACACTTTCTATGACGTAGACGTGTTGGGAGAGAAGCTTTTCGAAAAAGGATACGTGCCGTGTCGCAAGATGGGAAATTTCGAAAAAGATTTTTTAAAACGTCTCTTTAGGAAACTCGTTTTTAGCCCGTTTCTTGGGATGGCTGTAAAAGCTAATGGTCCCCCGGTTTGAACGTTTTAGTGACAAAATCCGTGTGAGCCTTTGAAAACTTCCCCCGGGGAAAAAAAGGAACTCGTTGTGGCACTTGGACTCCCGTTCCACCGCCCCCATTCCTGGATCGCAAGGCCGAGAAAAGTTCTTAAAGACGACAGTTACCAGATTATTTTCCATCTTACTTATTAGTTCAGGAAGTAGCTATTCTTAACTGTATTTCTGTAGTAAATATAAGCGATCACTTTCCCCGTGTTTTTTGAAGTAATGAAGTAATCTTTACTTTTCTAGCTAGGACTTCTCTCAAACTTGTGTGCTGAGGAGACTCAGATGTTGGCCTCAGCTCCTAGGCTGAACTCAGCAGATCGGCCCATGAAAACTTCTGTATTGAGACAAAGGAAAGGATCCAGCAGAAAGCAACATCTATTATCCTGGGCTTGGCAGCAAGGAAGGGGACAGGTAGTGGAAATCCTGCAATCCGAGAAACAGACTGAAAGGTATAAAATTATTTTTATAATTTTATAAGGATGTCTTATCCTTTTAACCTTAACCAATTGTCTTTATTTTTCACGTGATTAATCACATTTGCAGATAAGCTTTCTTAAGAAGGTAATAAAGGCTATGCACATAATTAAGTGTGAACATACGGTGAAGTTATTAAAGCAGTTGGATAGCAGTTTTGAGTCTTTCCAAAATGATTTCTGGAGTTACAAGTTGGGGCTACAGAACTTTCTTAAATTTTTTAACTTTTCTTACTGGGATTTTGCTGAGTATTTTATTTCCATTTACTTGTAGGTGACAAAGAAGCTGAAGATGGGTGGTGGAGAGAGGTACAACATTCCAGCCCCTCAATCAAGAAACGTTAGTAAGAACCAGCAACAGCTTAATAGACAGAAGACCAAGGATCAGAATTCCCAAATGAAGATTGTTCATAAGAAAAAAGAAAGAGGACATACTTACACCTCATCAGCAGCTGCACGGCAGGCCATGCAAAATGGGGGGAAGAACAAAAATTTTCCAAATAATCAAAACTGGAACTCTGGCTTATCAAGTCCTAGCTTACTTTTTAAGTCTCAAACTAATCAGAACTATGCTGGAGCCAAGTTTAGTGAGCCACCATCACCAAGTGTTCTTCCTAAACCACCAAGCCACTGGGTTCCAGTCTCCTTTAATCCTTCTGATAAGGAGATAATGACATTTCAACTTAAAACCTTACTTAAAGTACAGGTATAAAATAAGATAAAATACTAATGTTTAAATTTAGTTATATTTCAAGGTAGTTGTCCATTGTTTCAGGCCAAATTCACTAGGGAATTAATCTATTTGTAAAACTGCTCATGTAGAAAATACAATTAGACTTCATCTTATCTATTTTACATGCGGTGTGCACTGTGACATAATGGTAGTATCAGTGCAACTTAAAATTAAATTATTGATAATTGTACATTGATACTGTGTTCTCAACTGCGTAACTCTTAAACCTGTCAAGTTCAGATTTGGGGAATGGTAATCAACTTTTCCTGTTTGTTGGGCAGAAATAACTAAGAGTATCAGATTTACTTGTTGAAAGCTAGTCAATCTGCTTATGAGCATCCAAGTTGAAACACGTGGAAGGATTGAAAGGTAGTTGAATATTTGACAGTTTGAAGTCCTAGAAACATCCAAACCAGTAATATGCCAACAACCTGATGCACTGCCAAAAAATGTGAATTTTTCTTAGCGAATAGTTGCATTTTAGTGAACTGTATGCTGGTGAATGTGGAAAGGGCACTTGAGGCTTTCCAATTTAGAATGAGACCATATACCCAGTGGCCATTTCTTTCATGCAGTAGGTCTAACTAATGCACCAAAACCCGTTTTTACAGAAACCGTATTTGGTGGTTACTGCGTAGCTTTCAGAATACATTTTTATACTATAGCACTGCATAAGCTATGCTGACAGTGATCTGGTCTCAAAATCCTTCCCTATAAAACTTACTTAAAAGTGGGGAGCTGTATAATGTGAAAGTTTTAAGTACCTAGGAAAGAGCCATGTAAATATATGTAATAAACTTGTAGCATATGTAAAGTTTTGTTGGCATTTATCCTACAGAAATAGAGTATTTTAGTATGAATTTGCTGAATGTAAGACCATGGACTCTTTTATACTATGGCCTGATTTTAAAGGTCCAAAATAATTTGTTTTTAAAGTTTGCCCTTGTGCTAAAGTGCCAGTGTATGTATAATTGATCTAGTTGTAAACTATATTTCAAAGTAAATTCTAGTGTAATAAGTTTTATATAACTGTAAAGGTTTTAAGCTGCTAAAACACTCCTATTTTTAAGAGATGTGAAATGCAGTATGGGACTGTTTAATTTTTTCTTCCTTAAGCCCAAAGATTAACTATTAAAGGGTCCCTCCAACCTTAAAGATTCATCCTGGCATTCAATAACTTTTGTAATCTATAACAAATATAGTTTAGTGTTTGTCAGTATATATATTTTTTGTTACTAGTCTAAGTGCAACCCAGGGGACCATTTATGCAAAAGATGTAATTTCTTGCGTAATAACCTTGATAACACGTTTTACCTAAATATAACAGCTAACACAGTAAATTACAAATGTGTGTGGGAGAGTCAATTTAAAATTTGATTGTAAGTGCCCTATTCCAATTAGGTAACTTTTTGACCTTTTAAAGCAGAAGGGCCAAGCTGTAGTTCTCCAATGAACTGAGATGAGGTGATACTGCTCCAAGTCAAATAATGCTAACCTAAATTCAAGTTTACATAGTACTTAATGTACATATGTGAATTTAGCATGAAATTAAAAAATAAAACTGCTTCTTTCCCCCCCAGTGGCTAAATTGTATTTCATAAAAAAATTGTTATGACTATCTTTAACATTTACTCTTAGAATGCATGTAAGTTAATCCAACTGAAAAATGGAAGGACATTTGGTTTTTAAGAGGCAACGAATGTGCTGACGGACATACTGTATTATGACCCACCCACCCCCAGCAGATTTAACTGTAAAAGGCCACAGAATACTTCACGGAAACTAAGCTTCTGATTCATTATCAGGTCAAATACAGCAGGACTAATTACCTGCCTTTCCTCTTCTTCGTTTTAAGGTGACAGGTTTATAGAAAACAAAAATTCCTCCCAAGTTGTAAGACCCTTGCAATTTGTCTGCTATATATTAAAGCATAATTTACACCAGGGATCTTTGGGAGGTGGGGGAAGGCATCACCAGAGCCACATTTGCAAAGTGAGAGGGGTAGCTTCAACTGGTTCAATAGGTGAACTCCAGGGCAAGGCCATTACTTTATCATGCAAATCAGAAGGTAACTAATTTGGAGAAAATAAAAATTTGAGTCCTCATTTTTCTTCCTGTTCCATTCCCAGTGTAAAGTCTATGAACAATGCCAAGGATTGTTATGTTATTTAACTGCACTGGAATTTTACTGGATTTAATAGTTTGCAGCCCAGGCATGTTAGTTTTGGACTTCTTAACGTATGAGGTTTTTGGTTTGGGATTGACTCACTGTGACCAGTGTTCAGACTTGAGGATGGAGTACCAAAGGCTTTTACCTAACCATAAAGTTTTCAATAGCTAAGGATAACTATCAGATCAACATCTCATTCCTCAACAACTAATAAGTTTTGGTTAGTCTACAGGATTGTCCCAAACTTTTTAACTTGTGAGAACCAAAAAGTTACTAAAGGGAACCAACCTCTATCTCTAAGGCTGAAGTCAGCCACAGCGTAAGCCTTCAGTCAGTGTTAGAATTTTGTCATTATCTTTGTGATGGCAGTGTAGAGTATGGTGGGAGTCTGGGTACATCACCTATCCTTACACTTAATTTCTGGCTAAGTTCTATTCTTCCCCAAAGCAAGCACAAAGGGTTTTGGGTTAAGTTTTCTAGTTTCTTTAATTGCATTCTCACTGGCAGTTACTCTGTAAAACAGGAGGAAGAGAACATCTCTAAAGCCTCTTACACAAATGAGGAAAGCCTACCCAGCCATAAACATGGAAGGCAGAGCTAAACCTAAGGAAAAACAAAACCAAGAAAACAAAACAAAACAAAAAAAAAACCCAAATTTTTTGGCTCCTAGACCAGTTTATTTCACTCTAGCATTCAAAGAGATGGGATCTACAAAATACTAGACACAAAGGCTTTTTACTTCATTACAAACTACTCTGTCAGTTATCAATGAAAGGAATTTACATGCCTTGCTTTTTATTCCAAACAGAGAGTCCCGACTTCAATAGGGTGAAAACAACTGTTAGGAATACATAAACACAATGCAATAAACATAACCAACACTGTTGGGGGCGGGGTGGGCAGAGGAAAAAGAAACCAAGAGAAGGAAACTTTTCTGTAGCAACTACTGACATCTTAACAGATGTCAGTAGTTGAATGACAACACATAGGCTGCTTACTTCATTTATCAATGAGAGCAGTTTACTCCTAAAAAGCTCTGACCTCCTGGTAGAAATGCCGTTAAGATATTCCTTAGCTGTCACTGTGCTGTCTTAAGTCATAGCCTCCCTTTTTCAAAGTATCTCAGGATTTTGTAAACAAGAATATGGTCGAAACCCAATACAAGATTGAAATTTGGAAAGCCAGGATAGAGAGCCTGAGTCACAATAGCTGTGACATCTCGTGTTGTATTTAACCTCTTTTTCATCCAGAAAGATTACAAACAAAATATTTTTTGATACTAAATCTTTTTTCATTATTCTATTAATTCTTCCTTCCATGTGAACTCTATATTCCATTATATTACTTTTATTGTTATAAAAAATTTCCCATTTTATTTAAAAAAAAAAGGGGGCACAAAATAGTAAAGAGGAACCATCAAATGAAAAAACCATGAACTCTATCTAACCTGGGATCTGCCACTTAATTGCTGTGATGTTAAGCAAGTTTGAAAACTTTTTTTTAACCAAATGGGGGTTAAAATACCTCCCTTTCTTATTTCCCCAGTTATGTGTATTCTGCAATATTTTCAAAAAAATTTTTTTATAAATTAAAGGCTTCAACACTTCCATATTTTTAGATGAATAACTTTACATAAAAGGCTTAAAATATGCGGCAGAAATTTGACAAAAATCAAATGTGAGTGATGGAAGAATCAACATATAAACAAACTTCATATCCTAATAAGGAACTAAGGAATCCAAAACATTTGTGATACTATAAAAGTTATTTATTCACTATACACAGAACATGTCCCCTATAAAATGTACATGTAAATCACTAAAAAGTATAATCTGGTGAACATTTTCTCAATTACAGAACATACTAAATCAGCTGGGATAACAGCTCTCTGTCTGCCTCAAAATAATCTTATTATAGCACCCAGAGTCTCCTTTATATCTATTGCAAAGTTAAATACTTATTTTGGGGATTATTTCCTAATATGTGTTTGAGGAGGCAGAGTTAACAATTTAATATGACTCTAGTATATTACAGTCACTGCACAATAAATCAGTTTATTACAGATTAAAACATTTTTTCATTATTTGTATTAATGGGATGCAAACAGAAATACTGGATACTTTTAAATGGCAGATAACCACAAAAATGATCTTTGATAGTATTCTGGGTTTTATAATTACATTAAGATACGAATGGTGTAAAAGAGTTACGAATACACCTCAAACAATGAGGCCACACTGTAATGATTCACTAGATTGTGCTCAGTAGACATTTATTAAGTGAATTTTCTCCCCAATTACCCAGTACAATTTTTGTCCACAGTAAGGGCTCTCAGTAAATCAATGTTTGCTGAATATACTGACTTAGGACCGAGGTGAGAAGAGATGGACCCTCTTAGCTAGACGTCAAGTATTATAATCGGAATTTATCTGGGAGAGTGTAAGGAAGATGTAAACTGCACATGGCATTCAAGTAAGTAAACTCAGATGCCAACAAAGCAAATCATTAAGCAGAAAAACACTGGCACTGGAATAAACAACGGCAAGATTTGCCAATAGCAAAAATGGAACTGACTTTAAGAGATAACCAAGAAAAAGTTTATATTGGACCATACCTTTTCTCACCCAATTCAGTTTGAGACAGACCAATAGAGGCACTGTAAGAGACTATGGCTGTCTTCCTTGATATTCAGACATCCTAGTTTCCAGTAATTTATTACGGACCTGTTACCCATGAATCAATATAAACCTATTCAGATTTAGGGATTAGTTTTCCACAAGTACAAAGTTGAATTTCCTTTTATTTGTCCTAAAATGCTTACTTTCAAACTTGAAGGGACTTCAATTATTCCATGTAGTTTCGATAACATTCTTTTATCTTTTCAGACCAGAGTCAAAATATTCGTACAGTATTCATACTGCAGCACCTTCCACCCACCCTTTGGTCGCTTGAACTGCCCTTCTTTGGTTCTTTTTCCGCTTTCTCAGATCTTTCTTGAAGTGTAGTAAGCAGAACTGTACTGGGTATTCCAGCTGCAGTTTGGTCTTAAATAAAAGAAGGATGTTTGTCAGTTTGGTTTTCTTTATTCTTCTCTGTGGTATACAGGATTTTGTTAGTTGAACTGGATGTAGCAGCTTACTGGGCCAAATTTTCAAGAGAATAGTACAATAGTTCCCAGGTCTTTTCCCTGGGTTGTAAACTTAACAGCTCATACTCTATGTAGCACCTTTCCTTTCTCACTGAAGCATTATCTGTCATTTTTCTTCTTGCTTACTTGGCTTCAAAACAAAACAAAACAAAACAAAATGCAGAGATCTTAAGTAAAAGAGAGGTGAAGTGTCAGTCTTCACTTGAGTCTTCATATGATCTGCTCTAATACTGACAACAGTGCCAGACACATAGCAGATATCCACAGCTGTGAACTATGTAGCCCAAAATTAAAGCACTGTGTAAGGATCCTCATCAAGTATGAACAGGATCCTAACTATCATGGTTCAACTATAATTTGGTCCTTTCGAAGTGGTTAGGTATGTCACTTTAGAAATAACTATAAAGTTCTCAAAAAAACAGGGTGAGTCATATTAAGTGACATAAGTATAAAAATGAAATCATCAGGCCTTCTGTTTCTACACAAAGACTGAGAGCAATTTCAATGGGCTATCTCCTCAGTATACTTTCATCAAAACACAGTTCATTAAAAAAAAAAAAAAAAAAAAATCAATAAGGACCAGGCCTGAGCTCAAATTTTAGATCTGCCTTTTATAGCCTTTTCTTTATGCCTCAATATCCTCACCTATGATATGGGGTAAACCAAAGTATCTCTCTCCTAGGGTTTTGTGAAAAGTAAACAAGTTAACACATTAAGTTTTAGGACTGTGTCTGGCACATCATAAATACTAAGTATCAGCTATAATTGTTGTCATTATAAAGCAGCTAGAATTCAAACCATAAAATACCTAAACCAGTTCCCCGAAGTGGTTATCACTTAGTATATTAAACTGCTCACTGACATTCAATTCAAAAGTATTTTAAATCAAGCCATAAATATAAGGCCCAATTCATCTTGTTTAGGACGGGAAGAGCAGAATTATTGGTCCATCCAATAATGAAAATATAAACTTACAATTAGCGGACTCAAATTTCATTTTAATACTTATCTTAATTCTACCAGTAATTTCTATGTTATTTAACCCCAAGGGGCTTAATAAGCAATCATGAAACAACTCTGACATCACATAAGGAATTTTAGAGTAGTATATAAAAGATGTACCTTTCTGGCAAGTTCTATCATTTCCAAAGAAAAGTTGTGCCTAGTGCAACACTAATTAAAAATATTCCTAAATCTACAAAGAATTGTTTCCATTGTTATTTTAGAATCTCATCCAAAACTATAATAATTCCAGTTAATCATTATTTCCTTCATTTTGTTTTTATTATAGCATGTTTGCTTAATTTACAGCAAGCAGAAAATAAGCTGGGTCTTGTTTTGATCCAAACATTGATGTTTTAAAGGTTGTACACAATATTTGTTAAAAAGAACATATAAAAATACCTTTTTAGAAGCTTCTATAAGAAAGAAAATACAAAGTTTAACCCCACAACTTTCCTCTTTGCTAGAACTGCAAACTACTGCTACAGTTTTAAATAGACTTTTTGTTGTTTAAACTATACATCCAGGAAAATCTAAAAAATTAAAGAAACGTGCATATAAATGATTGCATAGCAGAACATGAACATTAACTGCAAACAGTAAAGAAATGAAAGTTAGAAATACTATCAAATATACAAAGGTTCTAGAATCAATCCTTTAAACACATTCCACAAACAGTATTTAAAAACCATCTTTTTTGTTCTTTACAGGCAAGGCCTATATTACTAAAACCAAAATTGGAAAAAAGTAATCCTCTAAAAGGAATCGTTTCCCCACAATATTTCTTACTTATACCTGCAAGCAAGCAATCTAAAATTTTTAAAGATGCTAGCTTTTATTCTGAAATGAGATTGGACAAGTCCCTTTTATTGCCCCCCCTCAACGATCTCTCAGAGAAATGCTAGAAATTATAAACGGTTAGGGTCTTGTTTTCTTTTTTAGCTGGGTACTGCCAGGTACTACATTGATAATCAATCAAACTCAGAGATGGGACTCTTTAAAATTCTTTTTCCAAAATATTTTAAATTTCATGGCACCACAGAATCACCTAGAATGGGAGTGTTCTCTTTCAACTTGCCTCACATGAAATAAGCTGACGTGTGAAGAACAAGCCTCCTTCATAAAGTGGAAGGCAAATTTTGATACAAATGCACAGACGAGTGCTATAAGCATCAAAATTCAGTTTACACTAACTACACACATATGCATAAAATCTACTCTGAAACAATTTACTTGCTGTTTTTTAACAGCAGTAAGAAAACTAAGCAGTATCACCAACAATGCTCCTTGAAGTTGAGAGTAACTACTTGAGAGCATTTTTTTCCCTTAAAATTATTTCTGCCATTATTGACCTGCTTAAATTTTAAGGTGAGTTCTTCTGATGTTTATATGTTTCAAATCTTCACAGAAACCAGAAAAAAGGAGTGAAGGCTCCATGTTTCAGTCAAAAACTCAATCTTCCCACAAATGCTACCTAACCCAGTTGGCATCATTCCCCAAGACGGTGGGGTTAACAAAAGAACTATTCCACGCTCTGTCATAAATTAACTATTATCACGGGCCTAGACATCTTAACAAGACAAAAAGGTCCACCCTGAACCTAAATGTGTCTGATCAGTCAGTGTGGTACTGTGGCTACAACTTCACTTTTGTATCATTCTATCTTATTAGCAAGCTACATTTCTAGGTTAACAGTTCTACCAAATATGGATATGAAAGTTTATTTTTAATAAGACAATGTTGCAAATTATGGTCAACCAACATCTTTTCACCAATACTTCAAGCATAAAAAATGAGAATCTTTACAAAAATATACAGAGACACCACAAATTGGTAGCTGCCCGTAACATTAAACAAACTGGACTCTTAAGAGTGTCTTCTCAACAGCATATCATTTTAATTATAACCATTTGCCTGGTACAGGGAAAACTGACAAGTGTTTTTTAAGCATCATTGCAACATTGTATTCCTGATAATTTAAGTAAACCAAACTATGAGTAAATGAATGATACATGCCTAAAAATATCAAGGTTTATACTATCAGTGGCCACTGGACTTAGGACTAGTCCAAGACCTTGATCTAGATTTTGACCTAGACCTAGATTGTGATCTTGACTGAGATTTGGATCTAGGTGGTTCTTTTTTCCTTGATTCCTTTTCATATCTTGAGCCAGACTTATAATGTGTTTTGGAATCTGTTTTAGAGGTGCCTCTAGTTTTGGTGTGAGATGCAGACCTAGAACGTGATTTAGCCTTCATTTCTTTCTTGGGCTGGGACTTGGACCGTGATCTTGAATTGGATTTAGATCTTGAAAAAGATCGATTTCGGTGTTTGAATCTTTCAAAACAGAGGAGAGATACAATTAGAGTAAAAATTAGATTCTATATTAATCAAATTTGTTATTTTTAGAGCAAAAGTTCACTCTGAAATTGAAAAACATAGAAGTCTTTTTCAAAGCAAAGTTATTTACCTATCATTGTCGGAATGGCTTCTGCTACGCCGTGGTCTTCCAGCCGGTCTACTGCTAAAAAGTACATCAGAAAGAGCAAACAGTGACAAATGTCTATTTACAGTCTTCTAAAGTTTCTAATTAAAAAAAAAAACAAACGTGAGCCATTAAACTTTTTAAATGAAGCACTAAAATATTTTTAGTTTCAATGAAGCATACAATGTATATAATTAAAGTGTACAGAAAGATAAAATTAAATGCTAACAAACATTTATCTTTTCTGACAGATTACTGTACTACACATCACACTTACTTTCTAGGACTATAAGATCTTCTATAGTTGTAATCAAAGGACCGGCTTCTTGATCTTCTTCTTTCATAACTCCGGCTTCTAGAACGTCTGTATCTGTCATAATCATCATAGCGTGAAGAGCTGTACACATTCCTCCCTTCCTTGGCTTTCATTTGATTTGGAGCTAATGATATACATAGAACAAATGTTTAGAAACATTAAAACCTAGTATTTTAAGTCTTTAAATTACAGGAAAAATTTCTGTATTTTCTTCCCTTACACCCCCAAATTGCGTCAAGGTTAATTGTGACTATTAGTCTCGGAAAGGGTATTTGTTTTTTAGGGTGTCTATCAGAATACTGTTTTCTGTTAAAAATGATACTCTCAATTACCTTCCCAACTATTTTTTGTCAGAGACTCTTTCACCATCTAGCTTGTTGTCCAAAACTATGCCAATTATTTCAACATTAAAAAAATTCACATTTTTAAGATTTCCAAATTAAAACATGAACCACTGAACCATATGCTAATTTGGAATTATTCTGTGTGGTTTTCATTTATTAGGAACATAATTAACAATGACAAAACACTTACTGGTGGCCTCCGAACAGTATTTTAGTATTAAAATGCAGGGCTATATGGTTAAACGGTTCTGAGAGATCACAATAAAAGTGGAAAAGAGCACTTACTGGATGCCTTAGACATACCTGCATCCCTGGACAGTCCTGAATTCCTGTTAACTTACTCAAGTCTATGAAGTGATACTGGAAGTTTGCATGTTTATATAAATACCACAGCAAATACCCAAGAACCAGAGAATTACTGGCAGCTAGTGTCAACCTCTATGCTGCTCCTCTCTTCAGCAGCTATTTTCATCTCTTTTAGTATCTTGCCCAAGGTAACAAAATGGTTGAGCCCCAGCCTACCTGACTCCAAAGCCTATACTCCCTCATCATTAGTATGTGGCTAACACCTGGTGTTCACCCACATAATAAAAACCAGACTAATATAAAACCAATTCTCGGTTTAGCCTGTAATCTTTCTCAGGTTAATTCTATCTGTTCATTTCCACAGTCAAGCAGTCAAATACCCAATTATAACTTGAAGATCTTTTATAAAGAGAAATGGCTGAAAAGACCCAACAGTTTCCAAATTATTTCCCTTTTAATTCCACCCCCAATTACTAAAAACATGGCACAGCAGACTGTATCAATCCACATTCTTGTAAGTCCAAACACATTTCAGGCATTCTTATGTTCACATTCTAACTTTTGCAAAGTATGTGAGAACTCTTTCTAGATTTTGAACAGATAGACAAATTGCGAATACTTCCAAAAAGAGGTATCAATGCACTGTTTAAAAATGACGTACTATATATAAACATGTATTAAGCATGAGGGTACTTACTCTTCCGATCCCCCTGTGCAAACTGTATTTCAATTTGGCGTCCGCAAATCCATTTTCTGTCCAAATTATGTAAAGCGTCTTCGGCATCACGAACATCCTCAAATGTGCTAAATGTTAAGGGGCTTGGGAAGTTTTGCATACTTTGATAACAAATGAACGTTTGGTTGGGAGGTCTGGAACAATTCACAGTCTCTCATTATTCTAGAAAATCATCCAGACCTCACTTACGCAGGTTGGTTGATTCAGCTATAGACACTTCACAGCATTAAAGCACTTGTGATTTCCTACAGTATACATGTGAAAACACAAGTGATCACATATTATAAAGTTATTAAAATAAGATTGGTTATAGCTGAACTACCAAGTAATCCTATCAAAAATTTTCTTCCTGAGTTTCAAGTTTCACAGAAGCAAAAAAGAAAAACAAATGTCAGTTCTATGTTGTATACTAAAACAAAAATTTCTGAAAATAAAACCAAAACTGTTTTTTCAGATTTTTGTTTCAAAGGAAAAAAAGAAAATGCCAATAGTTCTTGTGTAAGCAAGCAGAATATACCTTACCTTACAAGAGATAAAACATTAACTTCAAGTTTATTTTGCTGTTTTTCTCTGCTATATCTAACACTATTATTTCATGTAGCTGTCTTCCTTATACCATACAGGGAAGACTGGTATGCTATCCACTTGTGGATATCAAAACAGAATCAAGCATTAAATACTGAAGATATCACTATATCAAAAGCATATTACACCCATGCATAGACTATAAAAGCATGCGGTCAAGAAATAACAGACCATTTCTAAAGATTCCTGGACTGGAAAGCCCTAACCATATGTACTAAACATACAGCTCCCCGCAAAGAAGTGGGTCTGGCACTGGTTTTCAACTTGAGAATTTCAAGATAACATTTATAAATCTGACACAGGAACTACTGGTACTGGTTTTTGATTGGAGAGGCGGTTGTCTTGCCTGCCCTCTTCCCTCACTGTCAGCAATTAACTATGAGAACTCTAGGCTTTACAAAGTTATTCTGCCCAAATTTAGCTCCTCTCCTAAAACCACCATTCTTATGAAGCCAAGCAAATATTCTGAGCAGTGGTTGATATAAAAGCTTTGGAAAGGGAACTGGGTTAAGTTTGAGTGTAGATTTTCATTCTATCCTAGAAATCACTCTTGCAACTTGTCCATTTTTTTCTCAAATTTGAGAGACAAGAGTACAGATCTTGAGCTGATTAAAAAATACCCTCGAAGAGACACACTTTCTTCAAGACTGATACCTCGGTTTATTCCAGATATTAAAAGGTCTACCTCACCAGATTTATTTTTTGTTTTGAAAGGAATTAAGGACAATAGCAAGTTCCCAGCTCTCTCTTCCTGAAGCTGCTATGTATATGTTAATGAAAGACAGGTTTCCCCAAGTCCTAAATCATGGGGCATTTTTCAAAATGAAAAGGCAAAGGCTGATGGGGAGTTTAGAACTTAGAACCCTGAGTGCTATAAACTGAACACCCCCCTCAAGGTTAATGTAGATGGGCTTTAAATATTAAAAGTTCACTTAATGGTATACTACTTACTATGCTAGAAGACAGAATATAATTTACTTTTTAGAGAATTAAAATTAAAAGGTGTAAAAATTATTGAGATTAACTCATTCTCTGGATCTACCCTCAAAAACAGACCTGGGCTGGATGAATTATGGCAAAGTTCTACTATATGTGTTAAGAGAAGGTTAACTGGGAATAGGATCAAGTATCACTTGGATGCTAGTTACAGAGAAATTTGTACTCGGTATCTTTGCAAAATCCTGAGACCTACTCATTTTCAACTATTTTAAGACCACGGAAAGACTGTGTATAAGAAGTATATGATTCTCCTTTAGATGACAACTCTCCTCTGGCCCAAGTACTACATACTCTTGAGTCAAACTAGGGTTGATCTTGATTCCCAGGCCACTCCAAACCAGGTAAAATCAGGTCAACATTGTAAGCCAGAAAGCATCACTTTTTTTTTTTTTTTTTTTGAAAGCAAGCCAAATATAGCTCTTATCCTCTCCGTAACAGAGCTTTGCAACCAATTCCCCCAACTGTCCTTATCACTACCTTTGCTGAAGGAGCAGCTTTCAACATTTCCCCTAGATCTCACTAGGACCCCTCCTAAGTTTCAAGAGACCCAATGAATTTAATCAGTAACAATTTTTCCTCACCTGACGCCCACAGCCCAAACCTTTGCTGTCTCATTGAAGAAATAATGTCACCTAAAACTCTGGGTCAGGGAATGACTTTCTGTAGATCCTGATTAAGCACCCATACAAGGGATAAGGTCTTCTGCAATCCACTCAGTGCTAACTGATGGTATGTGCTAAAGCAGTGCAGGGACCAGCAGGCTTCACAGAGCTAAGTTTAGAAGTCTGGAGTATGTGTGCGGCCCCACCCCCCACAGCCACTTTAAAATCTATAAACAGGTAGTTATGTCCAGTGGATTTGACCTTACAAGACCACCAGAGATTGTTTCTAGGTAGTTCCCAGTGCTAGCACCTCGCTCCCCTTTAAGCATGGCTCTGTGGAGTCGGCTTGACCCCAGAACCTCATGCTATTCCAAAGAGCACTGCCTTCTACCCTATGGGAACTGACCATCTGGTCCGAAACAGAAATATGCCGAGTTTAAGCTTAACAACATTATATCCTGGTACACTTTAACTTGACAAGCTGAGAGAGTGCATTTATACAAGACCACAATCACAACATCAAAGGCCCACATAAATCAACTTACAGGTTTTGTCACTAGACCAAACCAGAATAGTTTTGAAAATTAACTGCTTACAAAACATTAAAAAAAATAAATAAATAAAAGGAAAATAGTTATTCTGTAGGATACATCAGGTATGACTCCTTTAATCTTGGCCATCATTCAACTTCATCTTGACCTTTAACTCTTTAAGTGCTTGTCAGAAGGACTTGTCATGAGATGCTTGGCCAAATATGACAGATGGCTTTATCTTTAACTTTGAAAAACAACCTTTTCCCCCTTTTGTAGATAAAGCGAGGCTTTGTCTCCCATTAGGCTTGTCCTTCTTCCAGCTTTTCTTTAATTTTTCTTTTCCCAAACTCTCCCTTCTCTTCAAGCCTGATCCTTAAGAGGTCTTTGGCTTGTCTACTTGCCTTAAGTGTTGAACTCTACTCTAAAGGTTCTTTCATGCTTTCTCTTTGGGGTCGCCATAACTGTACAGCTTTACATTCTCTGAGGTAACAACAGAGGACAGCAAATTAGGGGACAATATTAAAGAAGTTTACCTCATTGTTATACAATTTGTTTTTGATCAAGTGATTCAAATTAACAGACAATACCAAACTTTAATTGCTAAGCACAAGAACATATTAACTTTTAATTTGACTTACATTAAAGGTGGTAGCAACCAGAGTGTATTCAAATTTAAATCACATTTTATCATCATTGATTTGAGTTTCAGCATCATGAATGGGAATTTAAATATTTTACTATTTTTGGATTAACTTTAAGAAATAGTTAAGAGCAATGTGTGAGTCAATTAATTTTCAAAAATTTGAAGACATTAAACATTAGAGGACAAAAGTAAACTACTTTTTAGATGTTACCTCTTACATAAACTTGAATTTCAAACTTCAACACCCCTCACTAATCAGCCATCTGAAGAAAGGATATTGAACATAAGCAAATCCTCTTGGACGGCGCGTGTAGAAATCAAGCGGAACATACACATCAACTATAGGACCATAACGACCAAATTCTCGTCGTAAATCTTCGGACCTAAAACATCATAAAAAAAAACCCCCAATTTTTACGTTCACTTCTTTAAAAGAATTTCTTTGTAAGAAACAGGTAACTTCCTGTAATCTGTCAATTAATGACAGGGAATGGGCTGTATCTCTGGGTGACCAGAAACAGACAAGCTTTCCAAATCTCAACATCAAGAACCAACTTTAAGAGCACAGGAGAAATAACCAGGCAACCTATCTTTTTGAAAAAAGGAATGCTAAGATCCAAGATTTGTGGAAGACAATGCAGTTTGTACTAAAATTTATTACTTTACATGAACAACAGTTAAGGACATCTAAGGAAATTTGATCACAAATTTATCTAGTTTCTAATCACACCTTTAATTTTTCATAAAAGGCATCGTAGTATTAGGTTGCATATACTAATGTTTTACTTTTATAGGATCAAATCAACATTAGTACTCTGAATACCAAGCACTTTTATCCTAAAATTTTAACGACAGGTTTAGACACCTAGTAGGAGGTAGATAAAGATTTGAAAAACAGAAGTCACAAATATATATAATCCCTTAAATGGAAGATCAAAACGACAAGGGAAAATTTTTCTAGATGCTAGAACACTAATTACTTTCCTACTTAAAGTTAGGACGGTAAAATGTAAATCACGCAAGGCTACCAAAATAAATTTGACTGTTGGGGGGTTAGAGTGATTGTGTGAAACATAACGTCTCTTCTAGTGATATGATCTCTTCCAAGAAATTCTGACGGCAACTACAAGCAATTAAGACAATTGGTGAGAACAAAGGCACGGTCTGGATTAATCCAATTTAGCTTATTAACATCCGAATGGTACAGACTTCCTAAGCCTCATTTCTCAAAGAGTGACCAGTTATTTCCGGGAAATGAAAAGAACTAGTTCGCACCGTCTAACTGGAATAATTTTATCTACCAATTTTTGACATTCCTTCTCTCCAAACATCTCCAACGTTTCAAAAATCAGAACTATAACAACAAAAAAAGGTTGCGAATGCTTCGCCATACACGCCCCTCCCCCGATCCCGTTATTTCCTTGCAATTCTTTAACTAGAAAAAAAAAAAAACCAAAAAAAAAACCAACCCCCCCAAACCCCAAAACCCTGGGCCGAGGGGGCGTGTACCCCAAAGAACGTGAACTTCAAATCAATGGAGAACGAATGTTCGGCCGCGGCGGGGGCTGGACGTGCCGAGAGGAAACCGGGAGGAAGGGGCTCTGAAGTGCGGAGGGGGAGGGGGCCGAAGCCCAGCCACGCGGCCCGCGTGCCACGCGGCGGCCTGGGAGGACTAGGGTAGCCGCCCTCGCTCCCCCGCGGCGGTTGAGCCGGCGGCGCGGCCTAGCTGGGGCCCGAAAGCCCGCGCGGGACCCGCCATCTTCGCCTTCCCCTCCCCCGGCTTAGCGCGCCGCCGCCGCCGCCGCACGGGTCCTCCCCAAGAGCCTGCGGCCTCCCCGGGTAGGCCCAGGGTCCCTTCTTTGTACACACCTGGTGTCGTCGGCCACATTCCTTACGAACAGAGACGTGTTGGGGGGGCGCAGGTAGCGGGACATGACGGCGACGGGAGTCTCGCTCGGCAGGGGCACTAACGGGCTCAGTAAACCGTCCGCGAATGCGGCGGCGGATCCTCAGACACTCTCAGCCAGAGGGCTCCGCTACGAAACCGCCTCTTCTCGCGAGACTTCACTCCCGCCTCCACCCCCGCCGAGCTAGGCTCAACGCCGAGACCGGCAACGGTTCTTTCCCGCGAGATCGCCGGGCGTGCGCCTGCGCAGGCGGACGGCGAGGAGTTATGTGCGGCAGCCTCGTTCTCATTCATTGGCTTTTTGCGCGGCCTCTTCCCCTCCCCCAAGCCCGCGCTTTCTTTCTTTCGTGCTTTATTTTCCCGCCCTTTTCTGCCTTGCCCCGGTATTCCCCTTGCTGCCCCTCCAAGACAGGAAGCAGACGTTTTAACCCTTACGCCGAATTTTACAGTTATTGCTACCCAGAGTTTTAAACATTAGAGACCGCCATTTGATTTCCTGTCTCGGCCAAGTTATGCCCTGGCTTTTATTAGATCGCTGACCAGAGAGGGAAGAATTTGCAGCCTCTGGTACTGAGTGTGAAAGGAAAGGAGGCGTATGTCCTTGCCGAGGGGTGGGCCTGCCTCCCCAGGGCTTTGTGCACATCGTGGAAGCACTCCATGAGGACCTGTGCGGGGGTTGCCCGCGCTCAAACCCTTCTCGGTCATTTTCTCCACCTGTCCATCCTATTTCCTCCTGATTAAAGGCCGCTCCCAATCTTTCGATTGGAACCCAGACCTCACATTTTAGTTTCCATAGTCATCCACAGCTGTTTGTTCTTTGTTGCCAACGGCCTATGCTGCAAACGGTCCTTCCAACGTTTGGGTCTCAGAACCTCTTAACGCTCTTACAAATTATGGAAGACGCCAAAGAGTTCTGCTTATGTGGGTTACAGCTGTTAAAACTTACTGAACTAGAATTTAAAATGGAGAAAGTTTTAGGTCGTGATGACACACAAGCACACATTCCACTATCCTTCATCACACGTCATGTAGCCTCTGGGAAGCTCCGCTCTATATTTGTGAGAGGCTACCCACGAAAAAGGCAAATAATATTTATTATAGTTTTTGACCCCTTGAAAGGGTCCTAGGGACCCTAACCAGACCACAGATTAAGAATCATTCCCTGCTCTATCAGATTCAACTTTTGGAGATGAGGGATCACCTACTGAAATGCCTCTGGCATATAGCACAATACCAAACATAGCGGAGACCCAAGCTCTGTTTATTTAAATGAGTTTTTATTTTACAAAGGGCCATAAAAGCATTATTTTGCATTGGTCAGCATCAAGCAATTACATGACTTCACACGGGTGGTGATGGTCTGTTGTGCTCTGTAGCAGAGCTGTTGTTTTTCTTTTTTAACGATTTTTATTTATTTGACAGAGATCACAAGTAGGCAGAGAGGCAGGTAGAGAGAGAGGAGGAAGCAGGCTCCCCGTGGAGCAGAGAGCCCGATGAGGGGCTCGATCCCAGGACTCTGGGATCATGACCTGAGCCGAAGGCAGAGGCTTTAACCCACTGAGCCACCCAGGTGCCCCCAGAGCTGTTGTTTTTCTATGTTTATGTTTTCCAAGAAGCTTTGCACACAATTTATAAAAACATTTATTAATTATCCATTATGTGTCAGGCATTGTGCTAGATCCTGGAAATTCAGTGATGAAAAGCATGAAACTTAGGTTTTCATAGAAAAATTAGCGAATAACAACTGAAGTAATCGTGGATTTGTGATATAAGACAGTAATGCAAAAAGTTAAATTTTTTTTTTTTTTTTTTTTTTTTTTTTTTTTTTTTTTAAGCAGAAGGTTGTAGGGTGCCTGGGTGGCTCTGGGTTCAGCCTCTGCCTTCAGCTTGGTTCATGATCTCAGGGTCCTGGGATCTGGAGCCCCGCATTGGGCTCTCTGCTCAGCAGGGAGCTGCTTCCCCCTCTCTTTCTGCCTGCTTCTCTGCCTACTTGTGATCTCTCTCTGTCAAATAAGTAAATAAATAAATAAAAATCTTTAAAACAAACAAACAAAACCAGAAGTTTGTGTAGGTTGGGTAAGAGGAACTTGCTGAGCACTCCCTCCTCTTGAGTTAGACATTTTTTAGTGGCTGGAAAACAGCCTTCTGCAGATTACTTTAAGAGATGGAGGAAATTTACACAGGGGTACTCCAGCCACTCAGTTTAGTGTGTGTAAAGGTTTATAAATAGAGTCTGCCCTCCAAATGTTAATAGGATTGGTTACATAATCTCTGGGGCCCATGGCAAAAGGAAAAATTGTGAAGATGGCAGGAGCCAAACACTAAGCCAAGTGCAGGGTCCTTTGGAGTGTGGTGGCCCGCGTCACCCGCACAGGTGGCATGCTCATGAAGTCCATTCTAAATGTTAGCAATTACTGTTCTTACTCATAATGATTGGGAAATAAAAGGAAAAGTGAGACACAAATATTTACTAACTGGAATTGCTTTCTGCTTCACATACCAAATGCCCCTATGGTCTTTTGTGCTTTAGGATCCCAGAGCCTTGAAAAAGACGATATTGGGCGGGGGGAGGGGAGGGGGAGCTGGGTGGCTCAGTGGGTTAAAGCCTCTGCCTTCCGCTCTGGTCATGATCTCAGAATCCTGGGATGGAGCCCCCATCGGGCTCTCTGCTCAGCGGGGAGCCTGCTTCCCTCTCTCTCTCTGCCTCTCTGCCTACTTGTGATCTCTGTCAAATAAATAAATAAAATCTTAAAAAAAAAAAAAAGAGAGGTACATTTCACTCTGAGCACAATACCAGGGCTGGTAATTTTCTCCAAGGCCAAATGTTCATCTCTCAGAACGGTCTGTTGGTACTGCATCTCCTTGTAAAGAAATTTTGTTTCATTGGCATTTATGTCAGAAAACCATTTTCCTTGGATAGTATTCTCAGAACCACACAAAGACCAAAATGTAAAATACACAACTATGAATTTCCTTGATCCTGAAACAGCTTTTTTTTTTTTTTTTTAATATTTATGTGCCGTAGCACAGACATCGTGCCTGAGTGAGCTGCGCTACTTGCTAGAGGGAGACTCACTGGTGCAAATTCTGTGCGTTAAAACATTGGACTTCTGAGCCTGTCTCCATAAGCAGAACCAAAACCTTGAGCTGTATATCAAGATTAATTTTTCTGGTACGACCGTTTAATTCAGGTTATTGTCACAGACAGTGCTCAGCACTGTGTCTCTGTCTCTATGGGCAAACAATCAATCAGGAGCATGCTTTTTAAGTTTATTTAATAAGACACGCCTGATGTTTCCTATAAGGCTTTTCACTAACGAGTAGGCAACAGGCCAACTTCTCTGGACTGAGGAGGACTTAGCTTAGACATTTCTTACTTGTGGGTTGGAAATTTTGCAGCACAAACATAATATACACTATCAATTTACTTGTGTTCAAGGTTCTTTTAACCTCTGGCTCTCGCTAGTCCTGCTCGGTGGGTAAATTCACTGTGAATGCACACATTTGTTCATTATATTCCTTAGATGATCTATTAGCACAAAAATTGCTATCTTGAATTTGCTTAAGGTAAAATCACTTTTCTATCTTGGCCTCATTTTATTGTCTTAAAATAACATTTTCCTTAGTTATAAATGTCCAGTGTTTATTTTTAAAATTTCAGAAATAAAACTATAAAGAAAACAAGTATCACTTGTGATCCTACTACTCAGAACTAATTACTATTAAACCTTTATGTATTTCTATGCATTTGTGTAATTGTTAAAATTGGAATCATACTGTACATACAGTTTTATAATGTGTTCTTTCCCCACCAAATATTTTATAAAGAATATCTTCCCTGGCCATTAAATAGTTTTAATAAATATAGATTTTTTTAAAAAAAAGATGTATTTGAGAGAGAGAGAGCACGCGCACACACAAGCAGGGGGAGGGACAGAGGAGGAGGGAGAGGGAGAGAATCTTAAGGAGACTCCACACTGAGTATCACTGAGTAGCACCAAGCTATAGTCAGACACCGAAACACACAAAGTAAGCAAACACAGTCACCTTGACTGGGCCATGGGGTGCTAGACATTTGGTCAAACATTACTTTGGGTATGTCTATGAAGGTGTTTTTGGACCCTCTCATCCCATATTTGAATTGGTAGACTGAGTAAAGCAGATTATCCTCCCTAATGTAGGTCAATGGAAGACTGAAATAGAACAATGGAATCCACTCAGTGGAAGACTGAAATAGAACAAAAAGTTGGAAAAGGAATTTTGCTGTCTGTCTGATTTAGCTAGGACATTGGTCTTCTCCCACTCTTAGATTGGAACTTACACAATTGACTCTCATTAGTCTCCTGTTTACTAACTGCAGATTTTGAAACTTCTCAGCCTCCATGATCAGATGAGTCAATTTTTTACAATAAATCTCTTTATATGAATGACTAAGTGAATGAATGGATAAATACACATACACACGTCCTGTTGGTTCTATTTCTCTGGAGAACCCTGACTAGTATGCACAGCTATACTCTAATTTGTTTATCCATTCACCTGTTGCTGTACATTTGGGTTGTTTCTGGTTTTGGGATGAAACTTCCATGAACATTTGTGCACAAGTCTTTTTTTTGGATATATGTTTTCAGTTCTCATGAGTAAATATCTAGAAAGGGAATTGCTAGGTTATATGTTATGTCCTCCAGGAAGCAGATACCAAGATGGGGTGAAAAATGCAAGTGATTTCTTGAGGCTAATGTCTATGAAATAAAAGGAGGAAAGGGAGCCGGAGAGGCCAGGGAAGGTCTTCAGACCAGATCTCAACCTGTGAGAAGAAAGGGGAAGGGAAGAGAGATGGCTAGGAAGAAGCTAGTACTGCAGTACAGCTCAGAGTTTTTTACCAACTCATTGCGCATCGAGGAGTCCTTTGTTGGATAGAAATGGCCAGACCCTAGGATCCTCCCTGTGCTCAGTCTTTGGTTGGGTCTGCCTAGGAAGAGCACAGCCTCGGATCAAACATTGCAGTGGATCCTGAAGGCACTGTGGCTGAGACTGCCAGCTAACTACATCCTTTGGGTAGGGTCACCCCTGATGGAAGATCTGAGTGGCACCCTTCCGTGGTGGCCAAAGTTCAAGCCTTATGCAGATACCCTTCTCTGTACATCACTGAGTCGCAGTTCCTT